CTTCCATAACACGAGGATCATTGTTGGAAGATGAAGCATTAAGCCACATGATTTTACGAGAATAGCTATGTTTATAGTTATTAAACAATTGTACATGACTAATCCAAACGAACCCATCAATACAGCCGTGAATTGCTATGCCATAAGGCTTTAATTTATCGTAACCATCTACATGCCATATATAGTTAGGACCTTTATTTAAATACACCCTTCGACTCAGCCTTCTCGAACTTCGCATAGAACTGCCAGCAGGATCCATTAATGCTAGAAGCATCATAACAACATCTCTAGTAAATAAGATCTATAATGTGTACAGTATCATTATGTACAGTTACCTTGACACAGAGAGATTATAACACCTTTTTAATCTGTTCCACATGCCCCGGTAACCCAATAAGCACCCAGATCCTTGCAGTTCACACTACAAACTACATCATATAATTAATCAAGTTTGTAACTAACAGTTATTGCTGCTTTGATAGTCTCAATAGAATCCCTCCTACCGTAAAACGATTTTAAAGTCCTTTGTATATATCGCATGCTGATCATTAATACTGAATTAAAATGTTGTCATCAAACAAACTAACTTAATATCTCGCTTATAAGGACGAAGAATACTAAGTATCTCTCTAGTAGTACATCCATACTTGTGATGGCACAGAAAAATCAACTTTGTGACAACTCTTCTCTCTTTAGCCTTCTCAGTCTCCATGACAATCATAAATAATTAAAATCAATTAAAGTGTAGCCACACCCCCACCCACCCACTTCATTTCAGTCACGCCCAGAAGATAATGATCAATTTTGATCATCATGATCACGAACAAGAACGTGAACGAGAATGTTGTTTTCGGCTTCCGTAGGTTTGAATTGCCAATCTGATGTCTACCAAAGGGTCCCTGGATGGTCACTCCGATCCTCCAACCGGTGGCATGGGGTTGCGTGAGACAGATGCTATACGGACTCCTGTGTCTGGCTCAGGTGCCACAGGCTCTGGCAGCACTGCTCGTACTCTCCCATCAGGTACTGGATGGTACGGGTCCTTGAGGAGCTACGGAAACACGTCTGTCCGCCAAAGAGCTGAGGAGCATCACAGAAGCAGTAATCGCAGCCATTCATACATCAGAAGCCTCAGCTCCAGCTATAGTTTTATCTACAGATTGTATTGTAAAGTTGTGGGAGACTAGAGGAGGGCAAAACCAGGACAACTGTTGGCTGGCTTTCAGGGATGCTACTAGCCGAGCTTATTATCTTCAGATAATGCTGTATAAGTTTTATCAGTGAACAGGGAATTCTTGGGGTCATTGTCCTGGTCGTGCCCAACACACCCTCCAACAGATGAGCCCATCACGTGCAGGGTGGCAGAGGCTTGCATAGCCAATGGCAAGAAATGGTGGCTGTTTTGTCAGCCACTGCCCTATCCTCAAGTTGGGCTCCTCCTGGGAGTGGTTTAAAGCTTTATTGTGGGGATTGTCACCTGTCTCCCACTGGGGGAAGTGGATAAAGCAGGGGTAGTGTTACACTCCATTAAGGGAATGGGTCCTGCTCTTGTCCTATGGTATTGTGGGCAGGTGCTGCCAGGTAACCCCAGTTTCTTCTGCAGAGGGGAGGATAGCCTCCTATGTTGGTGGATCGGAGGGTGTCTTGGGAACAGGTCCCAAGAGGTTACCCTCTTATAGTGCCCTTTAGAGTGTCAGTACAGGAGTTGGTTTACTGACTTAGAAAGGGCTTGCAGTCTGGTTTTCATATAGTTTCGGCTGTTGTGTGTACTTGGTGGTTTTCATACAATTGTTGCAGAGATAAACCTGATTTCTATCTCTAAGCTGTTGCTACAGTGTTGTAAGGCTGTCTATGGAAACCAGGCTTTTGGGGTAGCTAGAGGGCTACTAGGGAGTGGGGTGTAGGTATCTGCGGAGAAAGCCAGGCCTTTGGTAAGTCCCCAGACAGAAAAATGTGACCCCCATTGGTTGCTCAAAGAATCATTTGTTTGGACAGCCTAGTCGCAAGAATACTGTTAAAACCTCAGTTTACTGAACCGGGTATGTGGTGGTGTGGATTATTTCAATCAAATATTTCCAGCCTTATAGGAAATGAATTTTTCAACCAGGGAGCTGGTTCCCTGATCAGAGCATAAGCCTTAGCCAGACCTAGGGTACCCCATTGGGAAAACAGTGTCTACCTCAACATGTATCAATTCATGCACTTGGTTGTTTATTTGCATCTCTGTATATAGAGACAGAAGGGTTGCTCATGGACCCCAGTCTCACATTAAGCAGTGGGGATCTGCCACTTCATAGCTCTGCTGCCATGTCCGCAGTGAAAGAGATAGCTGCAACCTGCTTGTCAGTGGCCTCAACATGTCTGGTAGATGAGGGTCTCCCTCCCATCCCTACCAAGCTGGTCGAGAAAATCAGGAGGTGGGAATTTATTGATCTTTCCCTTTTAATACATGACCCCTCCTCCAAGTCGGAGGAATCTCTCTTCCTGCAAAAGGGGTCACAAATCATGATATTTCAATCAGTGGAACAAGCTCAAAAAAGGAGGAAGCAGATTACTGACTTAGTGTCATGGATAAAGGATTTCTCCAATTACTCAGCTGTCCTAGCAGCAGCAGAGGAGACGACCAGGAAAGAAGTGGTGGGCCTCTTAGCTCAAATGCATCTGATCACTCAGCTGTTGAGGGACTTGGCCGGGGAGAAGGGGTTCTCATATGACTTCAAACTCAGCGTGGGCAGCTGCCAAAGGAGTACTCAAATGTGGAGAGCTAAACATCATAATTTATGGCAGATGTCTGCCAGTGGGGCATATGCCAGGAGCTCCCCCTCTCCCCCATTAAGCCAGCTTCCCTCTAGCAAGGGATTCAGCTCAAAGAGACCCATGTCCTCACAAAAGGTATGTTTCCAATGAAATATCTTCTCAGAATGTGAACGGGCCAAGTCCTGTCGGTTTAGTCGTGCCTGTTTCTACTGTGGTGATGCGTCACACGGGTTTGGACTGTGGAAAATGCAGCAGGAGAGAGGTCAGCCCCCTCATCAGAATGATGCAGGGGTCTTAAGCTAGCAAGGAATGTTTATCACATACATTAGTCACGCTATCATAGTATTTCCTGGAGTCTTTGGGCCCCTTGTTAAAAATATTTAGGTTAACTATTTTCTCTCTGTCTTTGTGTATATCATCATTACAAAGTAATTGCAGTATAGCACAGTATGCAGACTCTCTTTCCCAGGATAGGGAGTTTGCTAGCCTCACCCCTATGGTAACCCCCAGATGGGCTACTAGAATGAGGGGTCTTGTCATAAGTTGTGGCTGTGGCCATGGGGGCAGGGTGACCCCACCCCCGTAGCAGGGCAGGGACAAAGAAGGATAATGAACATAACTAGCAACTGATTAATTAAGTTCAAATTGATAACAATAAACATAATGGTAATGCACGAAGTTGTACCAATCACAAATTGGGGGGGGCAGCATACTCTTATACTACTATAATATGCTATAAAGTAATACTAACAGTCCCATGATGTTAAATCAGGCTACAAGAGGACAGTGTACTCCCTCCCTTAATTCAATTCTCCTCTATTTACAGGCTCAGAGCTCGAAGCTTACATATATGGTCAAGTAAGAGAGTGTTGTTACCAATTCACCGACGACTTATTCGCTCTAGAAGGCTGTAAGCCACCAAATTGTGGAGCCTCTGCTCCCAAGGTGTCATCACTCTCTCTTCCTGACTGGACTAAGTGTCTGGCTAATTACCCAGACACTCAGTTTGCCTCCTATATTCAATCAGGTATTCAGTCAGGGTTCAGGATTGGTTTTAATAGCCACTCCCCTCTGCTATTGGCCTCTTCAAACATGGCATGCTCCAATCCAGAGGTAATTCACAAATACTTAGCAAGGGAGGTATTGCTGGGTCAAAAGTTCACTCGGCCTTGAAAGAGCAATGTTCACATCAGCCCTTTAGGGATTAATCCCATAAAGGGATAAGCCAGGTAAATGGCGATTCATTGTGGACCTGTCTTCCGCCAATTCCCAGAATGTGAATGACAGGATTAAGACCTCAGCTTCCTCCTTGCGTTACCAAACTGTGGATGATCTTGTATCACTTATCGTTCGCAATGGGAGGGGAGCCTTAATAGTGAAGGCGGACATAAAGGAAGCATACTGTAACATCCCGATTCATCCAGACGACTACTGTCTTCTGGGAGTTAAATGGCATGAAACTGTTTTCGTAGACATGTTCCTTCCCTTTGGACTTCGCTCAGCCCAAAGATATTTTTTGCCGTAGCTGACGCAGCTCAGTGGGTGTTAACTGAGAATGGGATGAAGCAGATCTTACACTACATGGATGACTTTGCACTCATGGAGAGAAACCAGGCTACAGCTTTAGATCTAAAATTGCTTTTTGTTCCGTCATAAATATGTTAGGCCTTTCTCTAGAGCCCAGCATGCTGGAAGGTCCTACCACTTGCCTCACATTCCTCAGAATCGAGGTAGACACAGTTAACCTGAAGCTACGCCTTCCTACAGATAAGCTTGACAGATTGCTGAATGAGCTTGAGGAGGCATGGGGTCGGAAAGTCATATCAGAACGGAAACTGCAGAGCCTTACTGGCCTCCTACAGTACGCCTGCAAGGTAGTCAGGCCTGGTAGATCCTTCTTGCAAAGGTTGTATGCTCTTGAGAAGGTGGGCTCTACCCCAGATCATCACATTCGTCTGATTGTAGCAGCAAGAGCCGACGTGATGTGGTGGCAGCTATTTGTCTCTCATTGGAATAGGGTAATCATGCTTTGGAACCCTAAACACTCGCAAGCCGACATCCTGGTATTTACAGACGCTTCAGGCTCCTGGGAGGGTGGAGCTTTTTGTTCACACCTCTGGTTCTCTTTTCAGTGGCCACTCAACCTGAAGCCAACTTCTATGCAGGTCAAAGAGCTCATCCCAGTTGTTATTGCAGCGGCCTTGTTTGGAAGGTCATGGAGAGGGAAGCTAATTGTGTTTTCGGTGGACAACTAAGCAGTGATCCACATATTGAACAGCACCCACAGTAAAGAGAGCCACCTAATGCACTTGTCAGGTTGCTAGCATTTATGCATCATATTATGATTTTTGGTTCCGGGCTGAACACATCCCCGGGAGATGCAACACTCTGGCGGATGCATTATTAAGAAATGACATCAAGTTTTTTGTTTCACAGGCTCCTCAGGTCAACTCACAGCCATTGTTCATTTCTCCAGCTCTCCTGGCCTTGGAGGCCCTCAACAGTGAATGGACATCCACGCCCTGGATGGAGCTGTTCAGGAGTACTTTAAGGCTGGCCTGTGCCACTCATCCCACCATACTTATGGAACAGCAGAAAGATGCTTCAGGAATTCTGTCACGATTCTCACTAAACCCACTTCCTGTAAATGAACAGACATGTTATTTTGTTGCATGCTTAGGCTTGGCCCGGGCCAATATAAAAACTTACCTCTCAGGCGTGCCAGATTGCAGGTCTTCCAGACCCCAATATTCATAATATGCCATGCCTCCGCCAAGTTCTGATGGGGGTCGGGGTGTTGAGAGGTAAACTGGGAAGGTCTCCACGCCTGACACTTCCATTTACTCCCAGCATTCTAAGGAAGATGAGATGGGTGTGGTCTCTCCACGGCGAGTATGATAGGAGGCTAATGGGAGGCAGTGTCCCTGACAGCCTTCGTTGGCTTCTGCATGTCAGGGGAGGTCACTGTGCCTTGCAGAAGTCCTATGATCCACAGGTACACCTGTCCTTCAGGGTTGTTACTGTAGATAGCTGTCAAGTGCCTTCAGTTGTCTTAATTTTCTTGAAACGTACCAAGACAAATCAAGAAGGAAGAGGAGTGAGGGTCATATTAGGTTGAACTGGGAACGACCTATACCCAGTGACAGCACTCCTAATGTACCTTAAGCAATGAGGTAATGATCCGGGAGCCTTATTCAGGACCAGGGATGAAGTGCCTGTGAGCAGATCTCACTTTTTTGAGGTATGTCATGCCTTCACTAAGGCGGGGCTGCCTACAGCATACTTTGCCAGTCACAGTTTTAGAATCGGGGCTGTAACCATGGCTGCAGCAGCAGGAGTGGCAGACAGCACGATACAGACCTTGGGCCGCTGGAAAGGTGCAGCGTTTTGCTCCATCGTTCACAGTAGTACCTTAGAACTGTAGAAGATAAAAGTGGCCCAATAGAAAAGAAATGATACTTTCATGAGTTACATTATGTCAACATGCATGTACTAATCAACTTCAATAAACAATTGTCCATTTGTAGGCATTGATTCTTCCAAATCTGCGCATCTTAATGTAACATTGTTTTCACATCTACATTTTTTGGACAGTTAACTGGATCATGACTAGGGCTGAGGCTATTATTCCCAAAAAAAATTATATTATTCTATTCAGCATTTCTTAACTAACCTCCCAATTATTCTTTAAAGTTCACCAATTATTCATTCAAAAATCAGCAATTATAATATTAATCATTGTAACTGACTAGATCTACCTAGTATTGTATTGAAGCATGAGAGAAGCTTCTATGTAATCTTGTAAAGCAGTCTCTTGTTTATCTCCAAAAGAAGACTTCAGCAGTGAGAATACACGCTCTACTGACGCTGATGATGG